AGGCTGCTTCCAATTGCTCCCTTTGTCTTTCTGCATCCAGGCTTGGGGCTTGGCATTGCCATTCCTGCTGGGGCTTCACCTCTCTCCTGAAGTGCATTTCCTGTCAGTTAGAACTGCTCTGCTATCCTCTGAGTCTTGTTTATATGTCTAACTGTGCTATTTAGTACCCTAAATTATGCTGTTGATAATTATGCTATAGAAACCTTAAAGAATCGGCAAAATAAGCAAGAAAAACAGCAAAGGTCTCACTAAATGATCTCAAGAAAAAGATACTTCAAAGGTAAATTTACTAAGATCAAAAAATCTGGGTATTCAGAGTCATTCAAGGGGCTATTGCATCGTATTGAACCTTGTCACTCTTCCCCTTCCCTGTATTCTCATCAGGAAATCAGCCATCGGTGCACCGAGGAGGTAAATGAGACCTTTGGTTTCAGGCGGACAGAAAGTGTCTGTTCCCAGGGGAGGGGGCGGGCATCAAAAAACAGCAATTATTACATGATTGCTGGTTGAAATAACATTTCAGAGCAACAAGGACTTGGGCTTAATAGGTTTCTAGTGCATTAACTCAGCCAGTTTTATAGAATTATAGACCTTTTTTGAAAACAAGTAATCTACTTATTATTCATAATCTTCAGAGCAGTAGCTTAATGTTAAATAGCCCTTAAAATACACTCAATAAAACAGCAGTGCCTATCTCCCCCTCTCTTCAGAGATGTTAGGTACACTCTCCATGGCCCTCCTTAGACATTCAGATGCTTGCCCTATTATTTGTGAGGCACAACTATTTAATGAATGCACAGGCCTGTTTCCTGGCCTCAGAATTGAGAGTTATAAACAACAAATAATGCAGAACTAAAAAAGCCAAACAAATTGTGCTAAGATTTATCACCCTAGTATTTTGTGAAGCAACAAAAGAGGAAGAACTTTAGCTGGAATTCTGAGTCCTGCTTTCTCAATTGTCAACATCATGAATCATCAACAAAACAGTTCCACAAAAGGGGGTTCTGGGAAGTGGGACCCTGGTATCCCCACATTGTCCCATGAGGGTGGCTGTTTTCCTAACTCAGAAGGTGACAACAGCTAGTGAATGTGGAAGTGATGTATGATTGCAATGACTTTATAAAAATTATCTAAAACATTGAGCATATGGATATGTTACTGAAACATTCCAGCATTTAGTTTATCAGGGAGGGGATCTGGGAATGGGGGGACAGGGGGAGAGTGGAGGGGAAGCAGAAGTAGTGAAGATAAAAATGCAATATGTGCAGGTACCAATTTCCCACAATGAAAGTATTTATTATGTATCATACATATACTAGTAATAAAATGAGAAGACAAAATAAAACCGAATATCACTATTTAGCCTTGAACATTTAATGATTAAAAGAAATAAAACTAGGTCCTACAAATGCTCATGGATTTTCATAATAATCTGCTCCACAGCTATTTCCCATAGTCTGTAAACACAGCTCTGATGCAGGATTCAAACCCATAGGGGTAGAGGATGTGCATAGCAAGTGTGATCGTCTTTGCTTACTGAATTCATCCTCCACTAAATGAGACCAAGCAAAACCCTGGAGACTCCCTCCATGTCTTCTGCTTCTCTTTCTTGTCTTTTTTGAAAAACTAAATCTTTTCTAAAATCCATCCCATTTCCCTTTTAACCATAATTGCCCTAGGTGGGCCAGAATGATAATGTTATGATTTGAATATGAAGCATTCCTCAAAGACTCATGTGTTGAGAGTGCTGACCTCATCGATGGGTGAATCCATTGATAAGTTCAGAGTGGATGTGCTGTTAGGAGGGAGGGCTGGGCTGGAGGAAGTAGTCACTGGAGAAACAGACTTAATGCAAGATATGCAAGTATAGAAGGATTTACGAGACTGGCTTACAATGGCCGCCCACAGAGTCAGCTGTGGAAGGGCAGAAAGGGCTGTCTGCTCGCTGGAGATCCAAAGATCCAGTCAAAGCCCTAGAGTGTCCCATATGAGTCCCTACCAGGAGGCCAAATGCTCTGCAATGAAAGGTGGAAGAGTCTGCGCTGGAAGCCAGTGGACTTCATCCAAGGTGAAGGCAAAGACTGGAGCTCGTCCGAAGAAACCGAAAGGAGACTTCCTTCTTTGTTCCCCTTTTATTCCCTTCAGGCGGCAAGCCCATTGGTTGCTGTCACTCACACCCAGTAAATCCTGGGAAGTCTTCAGTGAGTCCCCTCAGCCACACCAGAACTGTGCTATCCAATTTAGTTGGGTGTTTCTCACTCACATTGACACTGTCATGGCGGGGTGAACCCCAAGGCCATATTCTTGCCCCTGTCTCCTTCTTTCTTCCCTGGTTCTCTCTCGCTCCCAAACCTTGCCCCAGGCAGTTTCTACCTTGCAGTCAGCCAAGCAAGGACTGAAACCTTGAGCCAAAATAAATCCTTTTTACTTTGAATTGTATGTGGCAGGCATTTTCTCCCAGCAATAGGAAACAGATGCAAATACTCTATCTAGACTCTGTATTCCCTTCTGTTTTCCCTTCCTTCATTTTGTTCCTGCAACCTCATTTCTCCAGGAAGCAATGACACATCACAATGTACAAGAGTCCAAGTTTCATGACCCCAAACCATTGTTTCTAAATGCTTTAAAACCGGTCATCTGCTTCCCTTTTAAATCTCACTTCTATTACTGTACAAAATACCTGAGACAATCATCTTGTAAGAAGAAAAGGTTTGTCTTGGCTCACAGTTCTGGAAGTTGCGGTTCCAGTGACCCCTCACTTTTGGGTCTGTGGCAAAGCAGTGCACCATGCCAGGGTGCCGGTGGAGAAGCTGTTCACCTTGTGGTCCCCAAGGAGCAAAGAAAAAGAGAACAAGACCAGCAGTATGCAGTGCCCTGTAAGGGCTCAGCAACAATGGCTGGGAAGTTCCCGGTCGGCCCCACCTTTTAAAGCAAACCTCCCATCCAGGAGTTTCAAGCTGAAGACAAGCCATGAACACATAGGCAGCCACACGAACTAAGTTACAGGTTTCTGTCTGTGTCACACTCTTCCTCCTTTATCATGACTGTCATAGTGAAATTAAATGATCGCTTTATGAATTCCTTTTCTTGAGGGTATGACAATCTATTGACAGTCTAGGTCTCCTATGTGCAACTCATCTTTTCAACCCTAGTTCCAAGTACACATAGTAAGCAGTTTGATTTAAAATGAAATATAGGCTCCTTGATCCTTTTTGTGAATATCTAGGGAGGATCTACAGGTAGAGAGGTGACTCACGCTGGCTGCATCCTGTAGGTATCTACATGGTTGGAGAGCCTCTGTGGCTCTTTCACCTCTCTTGCATTCACTTTGACCCTGGATGTGGAAATAAGCACAATACTACAGCCACATCTACAAATGCAGCACTGGAGCTTCCAAAGCACTGTGAGCTGCTGAACACTGCTCCACATTAACATAATTGTAGATCATGCAATGATACATGAGCTCAGTAATAGAGCTGATTACCATGCAAAGTATATACTGCATGCATTGGGTCTACCTTTATTTCTTTTAGCCATTAAATGTTCAAAAGTGGATGATAAATTTTCTCTACTTCAATATATTTCCATGACATGAAGAGCACTAAAAGGGAATTAAAGTTTCATAAAATCTCTAATATGCACTGTACATATTTCCCTGTCAGACAAGCTGTTCTCACTAAAGACTTGCAGGAGATTCCATCTCAATCAGTTCAAATTTGAATAAATTCAATCCCATCTTCACTTTTTCCTTCCAGCTATAAATCTGGTGAGACCTGAAGAATTAATCTGAGCTCATTCTCTATGTAAGATCAATGGAAAAGACACTTCATTGATATTAAACACAAAATCACAATTGATGATTAGATTAAATCTTTAGATCAGAAAATAAAATATCAAATGGTGTCATTTTAAATCAAGGTACTTAAATGTAAACTCCTGTTATGAAGGTGAGATAAAGGTACCCTGACACTGAGCTTTAATGTACAATAAAGAAGGAAAACTGTGAGTGTAAATGAATGGCAGAGCTCAAAGCCTTGAGTCCAATTCCCCAGCACTAATAAAAATAATAATAACAACAACAACAAAATGCTGATAAAGGGAATGGAAAATTTCACACCCTTAATAGCCAATTTCACCTCTCAAGGTAAATCATCAAGTTTATTTGATTGGCAAAATATGAAACAACAACCCCAGTAGAGACAATTCCTCTGTTTTATTTTTTATATGTTCAATTTTAATTATTTTATTTCACTTCATTTTATTCCTCCTCCAGTTGAGAGGCAGAAAGCCCTTGCAGTAAGGACAGAAAAGCAGCTGGAAGCCAGGACCACAATGGCCATGCTGTTGTAGAGCTGCTGAAAAGAGGTTCTACCACTTGGTAGTTCATATCAAGAGCTCCGTGTTAAATTACTTGTGCATTTCCCACCTCTGGCTGGACCCTGAGCTAGAGGAACACTTGGAATACAACTTTTTCTAATGGGACCTTGCTTACATGGATGTATGTCTGGACCTGCTGGCTCCTCTGACATTTTCTTCCTCTCGACCTCTAACCAGCAAGACCTCAACATTGAATCTAATAGCTGATGTGAAGCTGTCTTTATTCCTAATGCCTTGTTATTGCCTTGTTCATGATTTCTTTGCCAGGATACTGATTTCCACCAGCCGTTTGCCTTCAGGTCAGATTGGGGCAATTTTGGGTAAAAATGCCCAACCTCTGACCTACCTCTCAAAAGCAATGTATGTTTTATTTTAGTGACATCCAGGTGTGGACTACTTTGTTTCTTCCTCATCCCTTGTCAGCACTGACCACATGTTTCCATTAATAAATTGTCTAGTTAATGCTAATTTTAGTATTAATAAGAAATAATGGTAATAATATTCATTGTGTACTTACTTTTCTGTCAAGTACCGGATTAAAGGCAGTACTTGCTTAATTCCCAGAAGGGTCCTGCTAGGTAGTTGCTGCTCCATACCCATTTTACAGGTAGTGAGACTGAAGCTTGGTGGGATTTAGAAATCCAGGTGTGAACAAGTGGCCCATGATGTGGTAGGGCTGAGGTATTTATCTTCGAATCTGTATTGCATGCCAACATGTTTTGTTCTCTAAGGATAATTGTGTGTTCTCAGGTCTCTTTGATAATTATTGAAAATTAGACCATTATTGTTTTGCTCATATTACTCCAACAGAGCCCACAATTTCGTTCCCTATGATTTAAAAAAATCTGCTGTATGGTATGCTCCACAACCACTGAATTTAAGAATCACTTGTATTATTTAAGGGAGCATGGATGTTTTAATATCTCTCTACAGTGACATTTGATTCAGTAATTATTATGAAGATGATAGAAATTATTCAAATGTATGTGAGACTGATTGGGCCAACTTATGGAAGGTCAAGAGAACTAGGATTTCGCCCTGATAACCCCAGCTACTAAATTTGGGTGACAGAAAGATTACAGACTACATTTGGGGTTCAATTTAATTAATTAACATATACCCTATCCATTAAAAGGACAATTTATGCTTTGAAATACAGCTCATGAGCTCATGCGTAGAGTATATTTCATCAATGGAAAATCAACTGTTGCTCTCTGGGTGGAAAATGAATAAATTATTTTAAAATGTAATTACATGGGGTTACCATGTAATTGGGAGGAACTGGGAGGCTAGTAACCACAAACAGATTATAAATACAATTAATTAGCTTTTGCTCAACAAAACATGCGATTTAATTTCTATTACACCAGGTAACACTCGACGCCGATTTACTCTCCTTCACAAGTCTGATTTAGAATAAATTAATACTAATTGGGAGAAGTCGTGAGATATGACGCAAAGAAGGATCAGGAAGTGTCACGTTCCTCACAGGAGTTTGAGAGTTTTGTATCAGCTCTACAAATAAAACTGAAATGGGTCTAACAGGGGTGTGGTGAGTGTCAGATGAAGTGTGTGTGACTGTGTTGCAAAGCCCAAGTGTTACACAAATATAGGTGGACAGCCCTGATACACCCATTGGCATCTCCACTGTGGCTTCTTTTTAGTTGCTGACCCCTTCTCATATGTATCACTGGCGTATTGCTAATTGTCATCTTTCTGAGCCTCTCCAATTTTAATATATTCCAAAGCCTTCTTTAGTTTTCTAGTCAGAAAGCAGAAAAAAAAACCTCCTTAGTGTTTATAACGTAAATAATTGATATATAAAGAAGGAAATTGGAGTGGAATCACTCTACAAATCTGACAGAAAACTTTCTGATACAGTCATTTGTATGGCTTTAAAAATGTTTTCTATTTTTTGTTTATATTCCATAGAGTTCACTTTCCAGGCTTTATAATTCTGTGTGTTTTCACAAATGCTACCACTGCAGCCCAAGGACAAAATGTTCCAGGATGGGTTCATTGTCATAAAAATGTTCCTTGTACCTCCTTTGGACTGTGAGTTGACCTTCCCTCACTGTAGCACTAACCACACAGCTGCTGTCTAACTCCACGTTGTACCCTCTCCTGAGGATATGTGGTAGACCCACATATTATGTAGCATTTGCTGTTTGGGTATGTTCATTTAGTGCAATGCACTGACATTAATCCACATCTTCTCAGGTACCCCTGGCTCATTTCTTTTTACATTTGGGAAGTATTTTATGCTTACATTCATCAGATTTTGGTTTTCCATCTATTCATGTGTTAGTAGCCATCTGGATTCTTTGGCGAGTAGGAGTCATGCTGATATAGACATTTTTGTGGTTTTCTGTGACCATAAATTTTTATCTGTGTGGTGTAAGTACCTGGCAGTGGGATTTCCCAGTTGGATGAGAAACGTGTCTCATTTTCTAAACAACTATCCAGTTATAAGTGGTTCTGCCATTTTTCACTCCCGTGAGTAATGAATGAAATTTTCAGTTCCTGCCTCTCATCACCAACACTTGGCATTATCAGACTTTTCATTCCATTCTAGTCATTGAGAGGTAGTATCTGATTGTGGTTCCCATGGACATTTCCCAAGGATAATGATGCTAAACATAATTTTGGGTGATTTTTCCAATCTATATCATATTAAGTGAAATCCTCTTCAAAATCTGTACCCTATCTCCTTGTTTTTTTTGACATTGGGGATTGAATCCCAGGGCCTTGTGCATGCTAAACCAGCCCCTACCACTGAGCTACATCCCCAGCTCAATTTTGTCCACTTTTAATTGGGTGATTTGTTTTACTTATTGTTGACTTTTGATAGTACTTTAGATATTCTAATTAAATTATTTGTTGAATATGAGATTTGTATGCTTTCTCCTAGCTGTTATTTCTCCTTTCATTTCTTAGTATTTTCCACAAAGAAAAATCTTTATTTTTGATGACATCTTATTTATCACAGATTTTCTACCTAATCACCAATTTTTTTCCTATGAGTCTTTTTAAAATATATTGCTTATAATTTACTTAATTCTGACCCAATTTAATGTTATTTTTTTTAAATTTTGAGAAGAAGATTAAGATTCATATTTTTACTGCTAGGTGTGATAGCACATGCTTATAATCCCAGAACTCTGGAAGGCTGAGGCAGGGAGATAGTGAGTTTGAGCTCAGCCTGGGCCACACAGTGACTTAATGAGACCTTGTCTCAAAATAAAAAAATGGGAAAAGGTCAGGGGATGTAGTTCAATCTGAAAGCACTGGGTTCAGTCCCCAGCACCAGAAAAATGGATTAGGGAGGAAGGAAAGAAGGAAGGAAGGAAAGAAGGGAGGGAGGGAGGGAGAGAGGGAAGGAAGGAGAAAGGAAATGTATTCATGCATATTTACTTCTGGACTTTTATTCAGCTGGGCTGTTTCTCTAATACTTTTCCAAAACTGTACTTTCTCAGTACTGCAGTTCTAAGTCTTAACATCGAGTAGTATAATTTCCCAATTTCTTTCATTTCTAAAATTATTCTTTCCCTGCTAGCTTCTCCTCCTTTCCTCTTCAGTTTTAGAACCTGTTTGTCCACATCTGCCAAAAAAAAGCCCACTGATGTTATGGTTGTGATCACATTAAACCCCCAAATCAATCTGAGGAAAACAGACACCCCCACGACCCCTGCATGTCTTCTCACTTATTTCAGCCTTTGATTTCGTATAGTAACATTTTGCAGTTTGCACCACTTACATTATTATATTAAATTCTGACTATCTCAGCTCTTGGAAGATACAGGTACGATTTTGTTTGATTCTCTACTTTAAATTTTGACCTCTGATTGCTCATTACATAGTTGAACTTACTGTATTACACTGATTATCAATCTCATTCATACTAAACTCACATTTTTCATTAGATTTCTTGAGATTATCCATGTACACAACTAAGGTATCTGTAGGTAGAATTTTATTTCATCCTTTCCAGACTTTATGGCTATTATTTTCTCAATGTGTTGTATTTGGCATGGAAATTTATTGTTAAACTTCCAAATATTTTATAGATGTACCAGTTATCCCTTTGTTATTAATTTCCAGTTAATTTTCATGATTTTCCACCAATATCTGTCCCTGTCTGGGCTCCTGTGCTGCCTGGTGCCTCCTGAAACTGGACCAGCCTCAGAAACCAAGTAGCAGCAGGACAGAAAGCAACAAGATGCTGCAGGGACTCTCTTGACCATGCCTTGATGAAGGAGGAAGATTGTTCTCACTGTTGTTGTTAAGGAGCAGGATTTTCCTTCATTTAGAAGGTCTGAGCTGCAGCTGCTGCTCCTGACTCCTCTGGAGAGTACTTTAGGGACTGAGATTTACTTTGCGCTTGTAGAACAAAACAAATGAGAAGACTTCTCTGACTCCTTCCCTCAGGGGACCAGGCCTCCAGCCAGTTCCAGGGTTTTTGTTGGAACTGAGCCTGCCTATCACATCCTTCAAGGATTCGGGCTGCTCTAAGCCTTATTCAAGAGATGTGGGAGGAAAGACACACACACACACACACACACACAGAGCACACCACCCGAGATGGTGGTTATGTGGTTTCCATCTGAGATCTTTAGCTGTAGTCAGTGGAAAAGTGAAGTATCTGTGATGGTTTGGATCTAAAGTGTCCACCAAAAAATCTCATAGAGATGGGGCTCTCAGAAAGTGATTGAATCATGTGAGTGCTCTACTCACCAGTGAACTAAGCCATTGATGAGCTCATGGCCAATGTACTGCTGGAGTTGGGGCCTGGTGGGAATACCCTTGAGATGTCCATCACCCTATGTTTGTTGGTTGTTACTGTATACATTTTTACTTTAATCTACCTGACTCAGTGTACAGAAAAATATATATCCTTTGCACAGATAAGGGAATGAACGCTCAAAGAGCTTAAGTAGCATGTTCAGCAGAGCTAGAACGTGCAAGACTGGCTGACTACATCTCTCATGTGACCATGAGGAAGAAATGCATCACTAAGAGTGTGCTTTTGAGGGTACAATATATCCACCTCTGGTGCTGCTCCCTTCTCTCTCTGCTTCCTGGTTGTCATGTGGTGAGAAACTTTCCTGTGCCTCGCCCTTCTCCCATAATGGTTTTGCGTTAGGGCCACCAGACTATGGACTGAATCCTCTGAACTGTGAGCCAAATTGAACTCTTCCTCCTTTAAGTTGTAGATGTTGGATGTTGTGTCCCAGCAGTGGGTAAGCTGACTAATACAGCAATCTTACTCCATTTTAACCAATACCCAACTACACTTCTGGATTCTTGACTTTGCAGTTTTTCAGACTATGTTCCTGAAATCTTTGGTAGTTTAGTAGACACTGCCCCTTGGAAATCTAGGGATTATAAAACTACCTCTCCTATCTTCATCTTCATCTTTGTCTTTCCCTCCTATGACCATTCAGCAAAGAGGAGGAATCTTATAATGAGCTAATGTCCTAGGAGCCAGAGTTATAACTATATCTGACCTAAAGTCCACAGAACAGGATGTGGATGCTGTGTTTTCAGCCTGGTAGTCAAAGCCTAAGAAAAAAAGGGGTCAGAGGGACCCTTTCTCTTCCAAGGTGACAGGATAAGTTAGATCCAATAACTAGAACTTTATCCTAGAGAGTTTGGGGAAAAAAATTAACCCATCTCTTGATTCTAACCATGCAAGTAGAGCTTTCCTTGGAGTGCAGCTTCACTCATCAGGGCCTTTTACTCAACATCTTTCTTCCAGTTTTCTAGATTTGTTGTCCAATTTTCAACTTAATATTACATCTCATTTTAACATGATTACAGTAGCTGCTGTTGTCTACAGTCCTCATCAGCAAGGCAATGGGGCTGAGTCCTGGTGGAGCTCTGTGGTGCCCTTCATCTGATCAGAGACCTCCTTCCCCCTGCCAAGGAGATGCATCTCCAAGATCACCTTAGGGATACAATTATCCAAGCTTGCATCCAGTCCCAGTTCTGCCAAACTTGAACATGCTGCTTAATCTCTGTCAACTTTCGTTCCCTCATCTGTGCAAAGAATATGATATCATCTATATTGTTGCATTTAGTAGATTAAATAAGAAATTCATACATAAATATCTAATAAACCTAGCTGATACCAAATGGTTTCTCAAAGAAAGATAATTTACATTGTCTCCTAGAAATTCTGCCTTTAAGTCTGAATTTCCCACAGTGCCCTACTGACCACTCATCCTGTGAAGTGAGGAAGAGTGGGATTTAAGATTCTATGGCCAAAGCAGGCTGAGTGCTGTTAGACATGGACTTGAGCCTTGAGGAGTCACAATACCACCAGGCTCACCGAGGGCTCCGAACAATTTCCAGGTACCAAAGTACTGCTTGTTTTATTGAATCTGGAGTATCCCAAAATCCTTCTCCTCAATTTCTGCTGAACGTGTACCCAAGTTTTCTCTCCTGCAAGCCTTGTAGACCACAGGGCCACTAATTCACAGATCCAGGTGAGCAATAACACACAGCATTTCTTCTTCCCCTTCTCTACCAGCACAGTCGCCAGGATACTCTGGGGTCCCTGCAAATGCTACCCATAAGCCAGTCTGCCTCCCACTTCTCAGGCCACCACTGGTGTGGATTATTAGCACAGCGATTAGCATAGCAGCCGCCTGACAGCTGGGAAAGCACCTGAGCTCCAAGCTGTCCTTATGAAAACTCTGCCTGGAGAAGTGAAGAGAGAAGATCGGGGAACACTGCTGGTCCCAGATGTAGCGCACACCTTCTGAACACCATCTGCCTGCGGAGAGTCATCACAGTATGGGTGATCAGCGGGGCATGACTCCTTCCCCTTCTATCCTATATCATGGGTCTTTTGCCCCACTGCCCAATTTGGGCAGGTGTTTATTGAGCGCTACATAAGGGCCTAAATAGGGTAGAAAAACAAAGCTCTTCCTCCGGTCTCTCAAATTTGAATTTTAGTAGAGATGACAGCTTTGTGTGTGTCATAATCAAAGGTGGCTTTCAGAAAGTTCCAGGAAACATCACCATGGAGGTACAAGGAGAGCACTAGGGAGAGGAGGAAGAGGCAGACACTACTTCTGCCAGGAAGAATGTGAAAGGGTCTCTTGGGAAGAAGAGGGTTTGACCAGGATTCAAGGGGATTCTCCACTAACCTGATCAAAGCAACCGAAGTATCCCCAGAATGTAGCTCAGGCCTCATTACTCTGCAGGTTTCCGAAAAGGTTTTGGGTTTGTTATTAATCTCTAGGGTCTGGAAGATTAAATTTGCTAGAGTGAATGAAAGGACCCAACAAATGTGCAGAAGGTTATAATCCTCAGGGGTGGGTACAGACAGGCTGCTGAGAACCTAGAGACCTTGGTTTTACCTCTGCTGCCACGAGGAAGCTGGGTCCTTGGTCCCTTGTGCCTTAGATGAGAGAATTTAGTCAAGATACATGAGCAGCCATGCAGAAGGGTGGGTAGAGTTTATGGTAGAGATCACTTGACACCTTCAGGGGAAAAGGTGAGCAGCGTCACAAAGGCATCTACACCAAGAATATGAGTTTGGTGTCTTTTGCACGAAAGAGTTTGTCCCGGAGTTAGTGGAACCATGGTGATTATGATGTAATCAACACTTTTCTTAGAGGTTCCTTTGGAATTGTTAAATGTTTTTCTTTTCCTTTCAGATAGTCAGTGTTCCCTGAGGAGCCTTAATCATGTAAAAAATTTAGGAAAGAAACATGAAAGAGAATTTCTCATATAAACCAGGTCCCAGCCCAGGTGGAGGGTCTTTAAAGAATGTTTCCTTTGCCGGTGTCATTGGACCATGGACCATGTCAACCCAAATGGCTGTGTGCCTTGTCCTAGAAGCAGAGGCCCTGTGTCTCAGGTCTGAGACCTGACAAATGATTATAGCTGTGTTATATACTGAGATCTTTGTTTCTTTATTGAGCTATAACTGACAAGCATACTGTTTAGGACCTCTTCCACCACATGCCTTGCTCCTCAAGCCTGCAAATGTCTAAATATCTACCTAATATCTACTTTCCACCTTCTAACTCTGGGAGTTCCTATGGAGCCATGGAACCTTCCCCATCCTCAACTGGGAGGCATGACAATACCAGCTCATATGGGGGGTGGGCTTTTGGGCTGGCCAGATAGACATGTATCAACATGGCACCATGACTGTTCACTGAACCTTAGTCTTCTAGGACAAATGTATGTGCCTCTCATCATGAATGTGGTGACACCGCACCTGCTTTGTGGGGTGTTATTAACTACTGCATCTGATGATAAATGTGGGCATCTATTGGGGCATAGTGACCCAGACCTGTGGCAGAGTTAGCTCCTCCCCTTACTTTGAGTCCAGGGTAGTCACTTGCAGTCAATTCAAGCTGTCACTTGCAGGGCAGGAGTGATAGGTTAAGTTTGAATGAAACCAAGGGAAGCCTTGAGGATTGAACTTGAGTTCCAATCCTGCCTTTCTCAAAAATTAGTTTTTCCCAGTTATGACCCGGGGAAAGTTATTCCATTTTCATGAGACTGAGTTTCCTAAACCAGGATGGAAATTTCACAGAACCATTGTGGTTGTTCAAGGGCTGTTCTGCAAACCTCCAACACCACTTCCAGTGTCCAGAGCAGGGGTAGGGAGTGTGGAGTCCTCCCTCTGTCCCATGGTGCCTTGGAGATTCTTCCTATTAGATCGTCATCTGTCCCTAAGCTTAGAACTGTCACTTGAAATCTACCTCAGCTGTATGGAGACAGTTTCTTCTTGGATGTGTACCTGCAACAAAAGTGGACATCTTCTCATTAGGTTTGGAAAGCTAACTGGAGGATTCCCATGAGCCATCTGGGCAGAGCCTGAGGAAGGTGATGCCCTCTCTACAGAGATCCTACATCTACAAAGAGTCATCATGCCAGCTGGGCTAAGTCACCCGGGGCCCTTTCCGCTGATTCTCCAGGCGACTTTCTGACTACATTTCTACATCACAGGCAAGCAATAATCATGAGCAGTCATTCACATGAAAGAGATTAAATTAACAAGGGAGGAAAAAGAGTCTATTTTATATCTATCTATCTATCTATCTATCTATCTATCTACCTATACACACAAATAGTGCATTCATACAAAGTAGATGTGAGCAAAGATATAGAACATCTTCCTTAGGAAAATCAAAGACAAGAGGTTTGAAAGTTGAAAACCAGGCCATGAGCTCCAGAGTAGATTCTGTGGAGAGGGAGTCCTGGGACATCAGGGCTACAGCTGTCCTTACTGCTGTCATCTGTCCTCTTGCTGGGTTTTGAGGAATGTGAAATTCACACAGTTAAGAGAGGCTCTGGCCTGAGGTTGTGTGGCTGGAGGAGCCCCAGAGGGGACCAGGACAAGCTGCTGTTTGCATCCGGCTTGGCACCAAATACACCACTGCCTGTAATGATGTTGTGGTCCTCAGGTTCTCTCAGGGGCAGAGGACAACTGGTTCACTCCTCCAGGGAGAGCTCTGCTTATAAGATAGTCACTGTTTTGTTTTGTTTCTTTTACACTGACAATAAATAACAAAGGCATCCATCATGCAACGGGCGGGTTTTACCCTTGTCTTCCCTTTGCTTGGCCGTAGCCAAATCCTCAAAGGACTCTTTCCAACCCCTCACCCTGCACAAAAGTAACCCAGGCATCCATCCACCCCTTGTGCCTGTGGTTCAATCCCTGCCTTCCTGACCCACTGGGGTACTGCACAATGGTCTCCCTGTTACCTCCTAGTCCTATTCCCAACCATCAGGGGAAAGACTTTATCACAGCGATCAGTGAGCCGTTTTCTCTCCTTCCTGACAGGTTCCCCTCTGCTAACATCTTCTTCAGGCTGATATGCAAGATGCCTTACAAAGCACACTGTTGCTAAAGGTGTGACATATAGCCCCTAAATCACGTTATGTCCATTTTCTTGATATATCTTCTCTTCTTACTTGAATCACCATCACCACCAATAACAAATAAAAAAATACAAATATTTATCTCTTTTCAAGTCTTTATATCTTCAGATTGCCTGCTTTACCACCTGGGGAATTCCTACCTGGTTTCTGCATCAATCTGCGACATTACCAGTGTTCTAACATTCTGGCCCTTGGTGGAAGCATACTTTGAGGGCTCAGCCCTCTCTGAGCAACAACACTGGATTTGTGCGAGGCACCAGACCTCTCCAGGAACCTCTAAGAAGACAGTAACAGATGTTCTCTGGAAAAGAATACCCTCGCTGGGAATTAAGGTAGGGAAGGAAGAATGAGAACCGTGTTCATTCCAACATTAACAGGAGAATGATCAGGACACCATTATTAACACTGCTACAGAACATTCTCTCTGCTTGCTTTGAAAAACTCTGTGTTACACCAAATTGATCTCAAACACAGCAATTTGTCAAAGAGGATTATTTCATACCAAAAACAAACCACTAGTGGCCATGCAGGGCCTTCAAGATTAGCGACCTCTAAAATATCTTAGGAAAAGGAAAGTACTGGGCATCTAAATTCCTCTTCAGATGCTTTCCCTGTTTGTTTGTGTTGGTAATCAAATATGCTGCAGACGTGGGGTGACACGGCAAACAATTCCCCCGAGATTCATTAATCAGCCCTTACGGAATTGAAAGCTGGGTAGAGTAAGTAAATGAACTATGAGGAAATATTCAGTCAGAAACAACCTCATTTGCAGCACATGTGCTTTATTTTAATTGTAGCAAGATCTCATTTTTGTTGGGAGGTTTAGGCTACCATAAGTACAAATACAGAATTGTAAAAGAAATTTTAAACTTTCTCCAGTGAATGGGGAAAGTGACATCCCCTTTTCTTAGAGCATTACCTTTAGAAAGTTTGTAATTGTAAATCCTTTCTGTGTCTCTTGAAGATGCATGCAAACCTTTTTAAAAGCTAAATAAGGTTCTAGGCAGTTTTAGCATCAGAAATGCTTTCCTCCACGGCCTGGGAGCCATTTCTTTGAAATGCAAATGACAAGGAAGTTAGCCTCTCTAGCTCCCTTGGGATTGGGGAAGGGAGGTAAGGCTTTGATTTAGGGGCCTGGCTCGAATTTTTAACACTCCCTGCTTGTCATGGAGAGGGGGATTTGAGAACTTCGGTTTCCCTCTGGGGAAAGACAATTAATTAACACCGTGGCTACCAGGTGAATCTAGGCCTAAGTACGTTGGAAGAAAGAATGCTAACTACTGTTGGTTGACTACTAGCTTAGTGTTTATCCTGAGAAGATGTGAGGATTGAGTAGTCCTGAAATAGGACAGCGACCCTCCTGAGGACCAGAGGTAGAGGGATTCTCAGACTTGACATCTACTACAGGAAAGGCACACCCCCCCAGCCTCTTTGCCTAGTGCATGAAAATTGATAGTATGCTATCACCAGACAGGGTCTGAGGAGGTATCCAAAGCTGAGATAAGGAATCTAACTCATCTTTTTAGTAGAATAGGTTTGCTGGCATTGGGTAAAATGAATTTTCAGAACTAGTCAGTAAGAGACTCGGAAAGAGTTTTATTGGGCAAAGATTAAGAGATTCCCATTCAAAAATAGACTGCAGACCTCGAGAGAAAGAGAAGGAAGCGTGCTGTATTTTGGAACTGGGAATATTTACGTGTTTTTAGCCGTGGAAATCTGGGGTAGGGGAGGATAGCCCCTCACAGAAAGATAACAGTCTGAACATTGTAGAAAGAGATAGTCTATGCACAGGTGAAAAAAACTGGGAAAAAAACACACCGAAAGGCTCAATCTATTTGCAAGTGAGAGAGAATTGCCCAAGGCTAGGGCAGAGAGGAAGGGAAAACTTTAAACTGGGCTTATGTCCTGAAACTGCAGTTTTTAATTTTAAAATTATAATATTTCTTGCCTCCTTTCTGCCTGTTTTCTTTTTTTCATTCCTTCTATCCTAGCTCAGTGCTATAAAACCTCATCTTGCTCTTTCTTTTGTTAGAGGCCCAGTTTGATGTTTTCTGAGGCCAGAGGCCTGTCCCCTTCAGATTATCTCCTCCTCAGGGTGAAGTGCTGCCCCTGCTCTCTTCTTCTCAATCAAAGCTTCTGCCTCTAAATCGATGGCCTTGCTTCAGTTTTAATTTTAGCTTCCACTGAAGAAGTTCCCATGCATGTCCAGTATCAGACTGCCCGGCTGGCTGGAAGAGTAATTTCTCTCTCTCTCTCTCCCTTCCTCCCTCCCTCCTTGCCTGCCTTCCCTCCTCTCTCTTTCTGACCTTTGTGTCTTTCTTTCTGTAAGCTCTTTACCAAATTGCCTGTGATGTGCATTATTATCTTGTTTAACACTTTTTCAATATTCAATCTCTTCCACATTTGTAGAGAGGTTTTCTGAGTTGCCAAGGGATTTTCCTTATTATTTCTAAATGCTATCAATCAATCTCCATCTTCCTATGATCTAGGCATTTATGAAAATAACCATAATTTAAGACTATTAAAGCAACAAGTAAGCCAGGTGTGCTGATGCGTATTAAGCAGGTAGTCAGACAGCAGGCCTGAGGGATGAAACAGGCGGGTCCAAAATAGCATGAGTTGCCAGTTAAGTAAAAAACCAAAGAGGTCAATATATAATTGACGAACAGTCATTTCTTAGA